AGCAGAATACAACAGTTACTAATAAGGCATTATGTAAAAACTTGGATGTGTAACCGATGTGATTCTGTATTTAGGGTAAAAATGGGAGTTCATAACCCACTTGAATCGAATGTATGAAAAATGATATGTCAAGAGTTTTGTAATGTTTTGAACAACCAATAAAAAAAAGCAAAAGCACCTTTGGAACAAATTTTTTTGTGTTTGGATAAACTAAAGAATGGATAAACTGCAAGGTAATAAAACCAGAAACTTCATGTTCACCTGCTTAATCCTGATTTGAGAAGAATTTATATCAAAGACATGATCTTAGTCTTGTACAGGGTGGAGTCAAGTAAACTATGCACAAATTTACCATGGGAAGTCTGGAGAAAGCAAGAGGGTCATCCTGAGATAATGGGAAGGCCACAGAAGGGGCTCCGTGGCCTGATCCCTAGGAAGTGGCAGTGGGAATGAGGACTGATCAGAATGACATGTAATAATGTATATGGCCTTGAACTACAGGGGGCACTGCAGACCAGTCAAGAGGGTTAAGGAAAGAACCAGAACTGCAATGAGCATTCTGGCTTGCCTGATGCTCTCTTGTTAGGGCTCACAGCTGTGACCACCCACACCCCTGAGCCAACTCCACCCCTGCACAACCACTTGGCATCTTTATGTACAGGAGTCTGAAACATGGACCAGGGTGCAATAAAAAAAAACTGTGGAGAAACCTAATTTGCATAGATAGACCCTCCCCTTCTCAGATTATCAAGAGAGCAAGAGAGATGCTTGGGGGAACCTCTGCTCAGATTCAGGAACAGAAGGCAGATCTCAAGATGACCTCCACCATCGCCTGGACCTGTCTCTCCCTCACATTCTTTGTTCAGTGTACAGGTGACATGATATGGAGGAGAGATAGAGTGTGGGAGTCCTCTGATATGGGCCCTGATTCTACTCTTGATTCTATACAAACATCACCTTCTCTGTGTCTCTTCCACTTCCAGGATCCAGAGCCCAGTCTGTGGTGACTCAGCAGCCCTCACTGTCTGGGACTCCAGGACAGAGGGTCACCATCTCCTGCACTGGAAGCAGCAACAATATTGGTTGGTATAATGTGCACTGGTACCAACAGCTCCCAGAGACAGCCCCCAAACTCCTCATCTATGGTGATAGTAATCGATACTCAGGGGTCCCTGATCGATTCTCTGGATCCAAGTCTGGCAACTCTGCTTCACTGACCATCACTGGGCTCCAGCCTGAGGATGAGGCTGACTATTACTGTCAGTCTTATGATGACAATATTGGTGTCCCACAGTGTTCCAGGCTCATGGGGAAGTAAGACAAGAACCCCTTCACCATCTGTCAGAAGGGCCAACACCCAGCAGCTTTGCTCAGACCTGGTCTCTGGCTTTTTCTGCTACCACAACTAGAGAACCAGCAGAATCTACTGGCATTTCCTTGACTGACAAGCCTCTTGTCCTCTGTCTTCAGAGTCATTCACAGCAGGATATTCCTGGGAACATGTTTCCATATAAACAGAAATTTCTGCTCCTCCCTAGCTTGAGGGCCTGAATATTTAGGATGCTGTGGTCTCATTTTTATGAAGTTCAGGTCATGAGGCAGCCAGTGCAAGGCTGGACATCTCAGAATTGACATCTGAGGGGTAATCCTGTGGTTCCATCATGTATTTTCCCCTATTTACATGAATTCTAGAAAAGTATAATTAGCCTTCATCCCCTGTGATTTATCTTTTTAGCCTAATTTTCTATAAGTTTTCTAACATAAAATATTTGTCAGACAATAAAACATACATAAGGGAAAACTTTGACAGATTTTGAGATACTTTAACACCCTTGGAAATGTTGGCACAATCAGGCCAAGGAATCTGTCCACCAGCCCACAAGCCTCCTTTGACCTTAAGAAATCCTCCCTCCATCTGTGCTCCCAGAACCCCTGAGGCAACCACTAACTTTCCCTCTGTGAATATTGGTAAGGTTCCCTTATACATTTATTAACACAGAGAAAATAATTTCTTTCTTGAATGATGACTTCCACACTATAAATTCCTTTACAAACCTTTCCACATTTTGTTGAATTTTCATTGATTCTAGTGAGGACACATCATGACCTTTGTAGTTCTTGTATATTTCTGTGTTGATCCACAATTTTCTCTGCTCACATGTATTAAAAATTTTTTTGACTGCATCAGTATAGATAGCAGTATAATCCAGCCTTGATTGTATTGATTATATTATTGACCTCCTGGCCTAAGATCTTTTCTTCAAAAAGTGATGGAAAACAAGCAGAAAACTTTTTCTTTGTTATCTGCTCACAATTCACTGAGCTAAGCATCACCTGATCGGGGCTGTGGGCATGTCTAGATATGCCCTTCCCCTTCTTACTTTGGAGAGTGACTGTCCTAATTCCGGGCTTGTGGTGGGACTGAGCTTAAAGGCAAGAAAGCTGACATGCATGATTCCCAGGGAGTTACTTTGAAGCAGATGACCATTTGGGGGCAAGGTTCCTACGTTATGTGCTCAGAGTTTTGAGGGTGTCTCTTACATTGCTAGGACCTCTGCAAGGACCTCTGCAACTGCACTACAATTTCTGTTGCCCATAAGATGACAAAAATCATCCTAAGAAAATTATCTCCATATGCTGATTACAACAGCTGACACATCAGAGAGGCTCAGGATAGCGATAGGTAGTGAAGACATGAATTTCCAGTTGTTTCCAGGCTTGTGGAACATCCATGAGAAAACATTCAAAAGCCGTTTTTATAGATGTCCTGCCTATTGAGCCTCCAAATCATGTTTCTGAAGTTCAATGAGTTAAATAAGAAATGAGTGACTTTGGTATTTCCCTCTTAATATCATGTCAGCTGAGATTCCCAGTGGTCATATCTAATGCCTGACAAACACCTCATCTTACAAGGACATGTGCTAGGACTTCTAAGGAGTATGGCAAAGGTGGCAAGATCTGGACCTGAGACATTTTCTCTTAGAATCCTTCAGGGACAAAAATTGAATTTGAGTAGTTGCAGCTAAGAGACAAAGCACTTTAAAAATCCAGGTTATCTGAGCATCACTGTGTGTGCTATGTTTGTGTGTTTTCTCTTACGTTAAAACATAGTGAATGTAATTCAAGGGACAAACATGGGAGCCCAGATTGTTCCTGGAAGATTTGGGGCACAATAGTCAAATATCTGAACAATTAAAAAGAACCAGGGCCCTTACCAAGAGATGACATAGTTTGACGGAACTGGCTGCATCTTTAGATTGCTCTGTACAACAACTAGATGGAGAAAAAAAAAGTCAAGTGAGTGGTTTTCCCCCCTGTATGTAAGATAATTCATTGGGTAAAATAGCTATCAAGGACAACTTTACTACTACCCATGAGAGCCTCCAGAGGACCATTATGTTAACTCAATAGTAGGTCCATTGTGGAATGCTGCTCTGGGTGATCTCATGGTTGGCATTCAGCTCTCTCAGTACCATAGCCCGATTTTGATTTCTGTTCAGGGAAGACATCTTTTGCCAGCTGTGGTGGTACATGCATGTAATCCCAGTTACTTAGGAGGCTGAGGCAGTGGGATAACAATTTGGAGGCAAACTTCAACAACTGAGAAATAACATGTCTCAAAACCAAAAGAAAACAACAAAAAAATTACTATAGAGAAGCCATTCAGCTTACTACACAATTTGGGACATCAACATTGTTTCTGCTTTTCAGTGGTTATGAACATTGGTTTGGTGAGCAACTTAAAAGGTGACCAGGAATTGGTTGAACATAAGACTTTACATCAAATGTGTGCACATATAGTGTCATGGTTTCCATGTTTCCAGTTTCTTTTGAGTGCCAGACATAATTCTCTGCCTCATTGAAGAGTTCCTTGGCTCAGGTTTGCTTTGCTCAACAAAGTAGAATCAGAGGAGTCCTGTGCTACATCAGGACAATAGTATGATAAGTTGCAGAGCTACTTTCCTCCTTCTCCTCTGCATGATTCCTTGTGAATATTGATAAATATTATCCCAATGAGTGATCCCATATTGAGTTAGTAAAAGAATGAAATGAACACATGGGGAATCACCATTTATCACATGTGGTAGAAAAGGTTTGTGAACGAGAATTTTGCCACGTTATTTCACAACACAG